GCTCCGCTCGGTTCCGCTCCGCTCGGTTCGCCGCCGCGCCGGGGGGACCTCAGACCGAGAGGAGGGAGAGTCTCATGGTCAGAGCAGCTCCGGCAGTGCTGGGACCGTGGCGATGACGGGTAAGACGGTGCAGCACTGCTGGCGTGTAAGCACGCTCGTTTGGGTTTATTTTCTGTGTGTGAAATACTTTCGGCTGAAATACTTTCATCCCAATGAGAACCGTTTCCAGGCTGAAAGGTTGCTGAAATTTAAACATTTCATGTCGCCCCAGTCAGGACGTCTGATGCTAACTAGGGTTATTTTTTTCTGCAGTCCCAGAGTATGACATAGAATTGAGAAAGAGAAAGGAAAGATAAGTGACTGCATTGATGATGTTATGTTAGTCAAGTAATAGGGCAGTGCGGTACCTGGAGAGCTAAGCTTGGCGAAAATGAAGGAAATGTAGAAGTTAGTATCATGTTAGTATCATGGCAATATTTGTGTTTAAATGAAGCTGTTATTCTAGAGCTGGTTTAATTTGAATGAATGAAAATCCAGAGGAGACTAACACGGTGGTGGGGTGGGGGTGTCCGTGTGTGTGTACGTGCATGTGTGGTGGCAGGGTCTCAGCCTGGGGTAGGAAAACCTCACTGCTATGTGCGCTGAACTCTGGACATCTTATAAGGGAAAGTAGCTTGTGATAGCTGAAGTGTGAGAGCTAACACCATAAACTGAGTGGGCTTTCTGCAAACATCATAGGATTTGGAGGATCAAAGAATTAAAAGGGGAACTAAGATGTTATCTTGCACTGCTGGTTTCGCATGAACTTGTGTCTTTGGGAAAGAAAAGTGGCATTACAAAATTTAAATAAATCAAACCTCACTTTTTTTCCCCTAATGCATCTGAATTTCTCTCAGATTGGTGATACTTGTCTTAAGCACTGTATTAATAAGTATTTAGTTGCTTATATTGTATTTGTTGGAGCTAGTGAATGAATTCAGTGGGTAGTGGGGGGTTATTCATGCAAAATACTTTAGCTTGACAATACGTATTGACAACAAAGCCTGTAGAAGTCCGGCTCCATTTGGAGCTGACCCTGGGGAGGACTGTACGTGATCTGAATCAGTTAGTACGGGAGGAGATATCCTACCGCTGTTTACAATAGGGTTTTCATTAAATGCAGCGTTTAATGAGCTTATCACATGCTGAGTCTTTTTCCTCAAGGGTTCTCTATTTTTTTTATTTCCTTTTATTGTTAGTAATTAAAGGTTAAACTGTTTTTCAAAAGCAATCTCTTTATAGGGTTGCACAGTTTGATCGCTTGAGGTTTTCCTTATTTAATAATTCTTGTGGAAACTTGGGATTTTCACTGCAGCACAGCTGCTTCTATAGTATGTTTAGCAAGAACTGCATCTAGCTTGTAGTACAAATTACTGTTTCTTTGAAGGGACAGCGTACCTCTCCTTGTTGGTATGCGGGAGTGTCTTAAGCTATCATATGTCTAATTCATGCAGATGCAGCTGTATCTCCTTTGTGGTGAGTTTGTCCGTGATGTTTATATTGCTCTTTGTGCAGTCATTTTGATAAAGTTTTCAGTCTGTTTTTCATTGTTCATTTTTATTAGCCATTAGGGGTCCTTAAAAATGTTCCAGCATTTACTGACCTGTATTGCTTATCCCTGTATTCTTCATTCCTAGCAGAGCAGATTTCTTTCTTTTTTTTGCTTTTCCCCTGCTCAAATCCCCAAGTGCTAGTGTTGCGTTGATCTTACGCTTGATGAATACATTTTAAACAGGAACCAAGTCACTGAATGTGAGACATGGGCAGCATGGGTAACTATGAAATTTCATGAATATTTGTAGCATACTGGTTTGGTTCCCAAGCAGAACAGCTGGACTGGTTGAGAGCAGTTTATTATTAAGAGTTCATTTAATGAAGAATCCATAACTACAGTAACTGTATATCCAGGCCATAGCAAATGATTGTTCCAGTTTAAAAATAAACAAAACCATTTTAAAAGAACTTTAATGTTTTGGTTTTATTTTTAATTTTTAATTCATTTCAATGAAAAACATTGAAATGAAAAAAGAAGTATTTTAAAGTCTGGAATGAATGAAACATATGAATTCCCTTGCTGGAATTTGAGCAGTTGGTCTCTAGGTTAGAGCAGACAAGCAAAGCTAAAGCAAAATCTTCTTAACAAAAAAAAGTTTCTGAGGAATGTTACAGCATCCCAGCAGAAGTGATTGTGCTTTCTTTTATATCACAAGAGGTTATGTACAATGTCTTTTTCTGGGGACGTTTTTTTTGCTTTCAGAAGTTCAAAGCCATGAAAAATCACAGCTATTTTGCAACTTCTTTCTTTTTTCCGTTTTTAAAAATGGACACAAAAGTATGTGAGATTTTAAAACTTAACTCTTCAGTTTCCACCCACGTACCAGAGAACTGAAGACTGAACTCAGTGGCATTTGTTTCTAAAGCTTTGAAAGAACAACATGGTTAGAAAGCTCATGAATTGCACGTATGCACTGTGAAATACAGTATGCAAAAACCTCTGTGAATCCTCCCTCATTATTTAATTATTCTGAAAGAACTCCCATGACATAATTAACATGGCAAGTCAGTCCTTAGAAATAATTGAGCAAATACAAGAGGGAAGGAAGTAGCATGTGCTTTCCATGAAAGAACTTTCTGTACATTGGAAACAAATATCCCGAGTAGTAGGGAA